ATGTGGGACACATGCCATTTTTCTCAAAAGTTGAAAACTGAGTTAATTAGAAAAGTAATGAATGCTTCAGCTGGTAGAGAAAAGGAAGAAACTATTCTCGGAAAGACTAGGAAGGGGGTGAAGTAGGTTGTCCATTAAGTATGTTGGCAGCCACTTCACAGAGTCTCACCCTCACTTCAGAGCCTGTTTGGTGGAAACTGGCTTGGCCTGCCCAAAGAAGCAATCTAACCCTATCTGCCCCAGGTAATGAAGGCTCCAGGTAAAGACAACTGCTTCTTTTGTACCAGAATATATTTACTGATCATTGACCACTACCAACTCTATCTGGTCCTCACTAAATTACAAAGCATGTGTGCTCCTTCTAACAAGTACAATACAAAGCATATAAATTAAGTGCTCCCTTTGAATCTCCTACTTCCCTCCCATACCAGGCCATTTCTCAGAAGTAAATACTATTGCATTTATCTTTTCAATCTTTAAATGCAATATATGGGTATTTTCTTCCCTAATGAAATCCAGCTAGAGATTTAAATTCATCTGTATTCTCCCATCTAATGCTTGCCCTGGCTCGTTAATTCCTCACTAGTCTCTGTGTTGAGTCCATCTGTAATTGTGCCCATGTAAAGTGATATTCCTTTACCTTTCCTCACTAGAAAGATTTCCCTCCTGAGGTCAGCAGCTCCTTCCCTTGTGTTATGTGTGCAGGATGTGATCTGAGCAAAGTCACCAATCCATGGTGCACTTCCAACTGTGGAGGAAGCACATGAAGGCCATGTGAGCTTTACTCACAGGCAAGCGCTCGGAGGCCTTTCCGCTTCACACTAAGATCGCTCCCCAGACCAGCTCCCCACCCTCACGACACACAAACGCCACGTCTGTGCTCTGCTAGAGTCAACTGCTCCTGCAGAGCCATTCTTTCAGATAACGAGGTCAGCTGAACACATGGAGACAAAGGGGCATTTCATACACACTCTGGTCCGATTCTGGCAGTTGAAATAATACTGCAAGTGTCAGGTCTTTACAGGACAAATCTTGTCTCTGTGCATGTCAAATGTACCCAGAGGGCTCCCATGGGATAGAGGCTACTGAATTGCAGGCCCAGGGTAGACCTAAGTCATGATAAAATTTGAAAGCATTACTTTTTTATTTTGGACATGAGCAAATATAAAATAATGATAGTTATCTCTTAGTAAGCAGATACTCCACATACTTTCATTGATTTATTCCTCCCAGCAACCCTGTAAAACAGATGGTCATTATTCCATGCATACAGATGAGAAAACTGGCACTCAAAGGTTATATAATCTGCCCAATGTCACACATCCAGGAAGTGGCAGGACTGGGATTTGAACTTAGATCTGTCTGCTTCCAGAGGCCAGACTGCCTCAGTGTCCCAACAGTAGGGCTTAAAGGCCCACGGGACTTCTAGGACTTCTAAAAGGTTACACTGGAAAGCTGGAAGATAACCCCGAAGTCACCCAACATGCTCACTCCTCCTGTCATCCCCATTTCTGCTCCTCACAGCCTACTTCTAGAACTAGGCAGCTGCCTCACAGATGAGAAGTTGAGGAGACTTCAAATACCAACTTTGCATTTGCTTTGTGTTAGTTAATGCAAACTGAAAAAAGAAAAACCTTCCTGAAGTCAAAATGTGTGAGGAAAAATTATTATTTTTAAGGTGGCAAGAATAAATATTTAATGGGACAGTTTGACACTAAATTTTCCTGTCTTAGCAACATCTCAGCTGATGTGAAACAAGCCTGTACCTACAGGGCTAATGACAGATTACTAAATTGTTTTTTATTTAAATCCTCTGAGCTATTAAACATGAGGGATGAAGCAGAGTGGTGCTGTATAACAGTCTGGAAACTTGGGTTCTTATCCTAATGCAGACATTAACCACCACCAACACTCATTTGCCTGGTGCACACAGTGGCAAAGTGTTCTTATATACTTTCTATATTCACTGGGTGACCTTGGAGCAAGTCACTTAACTTGCGGTGTCTCAAGTCAAAATCTGGAAATAAGGACATTAAATTATATCATCTGAGGCCCCTCCATTTCTACAAATGTATCTGTAAACAAATCAGCCCAGATGCACTCTGATCAGAAAAATTATATTTTCTATTCAGTTTCTGAACAGTATCACTTGTCTCAATTCAGGTATAGTGCATAAGATGTTTGCTACTAAATGCTTGCTCAGTCTCTGGACAGTGCAACAGGAAAGTCCTGGTTTAGATTCCCATACGAGAACTTTCCGCGGTGTAATCAGCACGACCAGGCCTAACTCTCCCTGATTATCTTACAAATAGCCCCACAAAGTTGGCTCCCAGAAGGAAGGGCTTGAAGAAACCTACCTCTATAATGTGTGCACTCTCAGGAAGCCCAGCCAGTACTGGCACCAGCACACAGGAATATTATGAACACTATTCTTTAATTCTAAGACACGTGAACACCTCCTTCACGTCTTGCCACTTCCTGTTTCAATGCTTCTGAAATTGGAATCCACCTTGGAAAACACACACACACATATTTTTTTCTGGTAGTATTAAATTATTTTACCCAAAAGCTGCTGGCAAATTTGTAGTGTGCCTTAGAATCAAGGAAATAGTCTTACAAAACCATGAGATCCATCACATAAGTTTAGGTCTAACTTGGTTCAAATCATGTCCCTGTCCCTGGTTATAACAATTACCTTCAGTAACAGCTGGACAGGCAATGTATAAAAGGTACTAGTCCTGCTTCCTCACAGAAGCAGTTTAAAAAGCATTCATCACTATCTCATAAAACACTGGTATGAATTTCACAGGCAAATTAACCCATATAAAAACCACTCTGGCTCTGAAAACGTACTATCCCCTCAGCAGGCTAGAAAGGGAACATTTCACTCACACCCTCCTGATCTATCTAGCCTTGACACATTTTCTTGCTTAATTCACAACCCTCCACCCCAGTAATATCACTGATTCCCAAAATACACTCAGCCCAGGAGGAGCAGCTCTCCAGCACAGCTGTCTTCTCCTGCCCTCCTCGGGTATTTCGGTGAGCTATGTGACACACAGGACCACAAGAAGGAATGTAACTCTCAGGCCCTACAGTTCCCACTGTGCTACAGGCAGGTGCATCCCACCAAACCCCAGACTGGCATTCGAAACAGAAGAAACCACCCTGCTGGAAGGGGACTGTAGTTCTCCTGAACTTCATCTCTATGTTTAAAACTAGGGCGACAGCCGTCGTTGCTACTGTAAACTAATCTGATGGGCATGGGGGCAGGGAGTGGCTCTGAGGAGGCTGCCAATAGGTCATGATTGAGCAAAGTCAGGGAGCAAAATCGTTATTTCTCACTGTTCGAAAGCCCAGGAGGTCCAAATGAGTGGCTCCTTCACCACGACTTTTTTTATTTTTGGTACCGGGGATCAAACTCCGGACCTTGAGCTTTCGAGGCAGGTGGCGGAACCACTGAGCTAAATCCCACCACGACTTTTTAGAAGTGGACAAGCCACTTCTTTGCAGCCTGGAGTAAAAACAAACAAACAACAAAACCTCTTGTACTATGGAACTAGCTTGTATTTATGCATATTTTCTAAGCATATACTGATACCTGGAAGCCAAAAAAAAGAAGAAGAAGACGGAGGAGAGGGAGGAGGAGAAGGAGGAGGAGGAGGAGAAGAAGAAGGGGAAGGGAAAGAGGAAGAGGAAGAGGAAGAAGAAGTGGGGGGAAGAAGAGGAGGAGGATCAAAGAGTGGACAAGAAGGCACACGCAGTAGCTAGGAGCCCACCAGCTGAGGCATGTCTATTAGGAGCTCTGACTGTGAGGACCAACTCTGACTTCAGCTCAGCTTCTGCTGGAAAAAGGAAACAGTCTGGCATCCTCCTCTATTCCAAGACCAATGCCTGCAAGTGGGGCAAGTAAATGAGTAGCAGGCATGACAGAGGGGACTGTGCACACATGCTGGACCCCTGTGGGACAGCCTCTCACACACTGTGACTCAGCCTCAGGAGGCAGAGTCATGGGCCTCAGACCCACACCACGGAAAACCTCAAGTCTCTCTGCTCTCTCCTCTGCTCCTACAACATCCAAGTTCACTTTTCCAACTATTTGGTTATTTCATGGAATTTACAAGGATCCAAAGTCAAGTCCTGCCAATACCCCTCATTACACAAACAGTAAACATTTGTTATAGATAATTATCAGGTCTGTTTTCAAAGCCCACATTATACCAAGGTTGTAATGCTATTTAAAAAAAAAAAAAAAGCCTTTTTAAAGAGTACTGCAAGAAGCTCATCCACAACACACCAGAAGCACAGGAGCTTCCAAACGCACCCCTTTCTCCTCTCCCTCCACGCTCAGCCAGGGCAGTGGCTCAGCCCACTAGAAGGCCACCACGCACTGGCAATGTCCACCAAACGGCGGCCGATAGCGAAAGGGCTGGACCCTGCTCGGCAAAACCGATTCTGAAAGCCCCACAGGCTCTGGGGCAGTTGGTCGGCACTGTCAGACCAGTTTCCCAAAGCAGCCAGGCCAGGAGCCTGTGGGGCAGAACCCTGGGCTCCCAGGTCGGACAGACGGACGTCCCTGTCCTCCTGGGCTCCCTCGCTCTCTGCCTTGTCACTCTTTCTTATCACTGGGGAAACCAGAGGCCAGGACGCCAGGCCCAGAGTAGGAAGCGGGAAGGGCCAAGGACGCGGAGGTAGCTCGGGGGAGAACACCAGGCCGGGCAGAGGTGCGGCAGCGCCAAGTGGGGGGGGGGCGCGACCCCCAAGGTGGGTCCGGGGGTAGGGAAGCCGGGAGGGAGGACGAGGAGGAAGGGAGGAGTGGCTAGGGAGGTCGCGGGGAGCCCCGAGAGAGGGCCAGGGAGGCGGAAGCCGGGGGTGAGGGCGGGGGTGGGGGCGGGGGCGCGGGAGGCGCGGATGGGGAGCCCGGTTCCCCTCCCCCAGCCCGGGCCCGGGCCTCCCGCTGACTCAGCCCCACGGCGTCAGTCGCCTCGGCCCGGACTTACAGTGCTCGAGGTGGCTCCGGCGGAGGCGGCAGGGGAGGGGACGGGCGGCGGGGCGCTGCGGCGAGGCTGTGGCTCGGCCGGCGGCTCCCGGGCGGAGGGTCCTAGCAGAGGCCGCCGCGGTCTCCGGCTTCAACGCACAGAGACTGCGGGGGAAGAGAGCACTGCGCAGGCGCGCTGCGGCCCCGCTGTCAGTCCGAGAGGGGCGGGGCCCGGGCACCCGCCGTCTCCAAGGCAACTGGACGGCAAGCGGAGGACAAGACCCTACCTCCACTTGGTCTCGGCGACTTCGGCGGGCGGGGCGGGCGGTGGGAACAGTCCCTCTAGGTAGCCATAGCAACGAGGGGAAGAAACGGCCTCGTAAATGTGTGGCGGTACGGAGAGAATGCGCCTACCTTGTCACCATAGCAACTGGGAACAGCCCCTTCCTTTTCCCTCAGCACAACAATTCTCGGACCTGTCTAGTCACCGACGGAACAAGCGTTTGCACCTGATGCCGTCGTAGCCGGACGACGGGTTCTTCTCTTTTGGTTTCTGCAAAGGCAAAAGTGAAGACTATTTCATTTCTTCTCTTCCAGCGACGTGGGAGAGCCGAGGCCGCGTTTGATGATCCCTCTTGATTTGTGGCTTCCAAACACAGCCTCTGACTCTAATCCCCAGACGCAGTTTTCTCTACCTGCGTTAAGCAGTCCTTCGCGTCTCCTACCAAAATCTGCCCTTTTCCCCTAAATTGACCTAACGAGTGTCTACACACATCACTTGAATTCTGTGCCTCTCCCAGTGCGTTCGTAAACAACCTTGTTTCTTCCTCTAGCCCGCTGCCTGATACAGTTCCTACTTCCTCCTGTCTAGCTCCTCTCTTTGACCTGCTGTTTGCCTTCCGGAATTCCCTGTTCCAAGGCCGCTTTCATGGATCGTCTCCTTTTGTCATCCCTCTTCTTTCCACGCCTGCCCTCCACACCCGCGATCCTTGCCCCCGCGGCTCTGCCCAGGGCTCCAGTATGTCCACGCCAGTGACGACGGCGAACTTTTAGAGACAAGGGCCCAAACTGCAACCCCAAACCCACTCATTTATTGCGAGGTGCCAACACTGCAATTAAACCTTAATACTCGGCTGCTGGGGCGACTTGGCTGGCGTGCCAGTGGGGAGGGCTCTGTGTGCCTGCTGCGGCACGCGTGCCACAGGTTCGCCACCCCTGCGGGCCATGGCCATTGTGAATTCCTACCCTGGTTCTCTTTGTGCCAATGCCTCCTGGATCTCCCTCCCTCCACCATGACTCCCAGGAATGTCTTGAGGTCACCTTCGCACCCACCTTGCACATACCTTCTCTGCTGCACGCATTCTACAGCACTGTCCTTTGTTTACATGTCTGTTTCCCAGTCGGTTAAGTGTCCTTGGTGGACGGGAATTCTTCTTCACCAGCGTGTCAGCACCTAGCTCGACCATGTGGCACAGAATGTGACACATAGTAGAGCTTCAGTAGCGCTTACTTCACTGAATCAAGTGAAGACAGAGATTTCATTCTTTCTCACTTTCTCTGGCCTAACTGCCTCAGACTCTCAGTCAACATTTTCCTTCTTATCTACACACATATTTTGTCTTTAAGTATTGCTGCTACTACAAAGCTTCTACCCCCTTAGCTCTTGATTTTAATGTCAAAACTCTAGTCAGTTTTTTTTTTTTTTTTTTTTTGGTACTGGGGATCGAACTCGGGTCCTTGCATTTGCAAGGCAGGTGGCGGAACCACTGAGCTAAATCCCCGGCTCCTCTAGTCACCTATTAGTCAGGAGCCTGGCATACTCTGTGTCCTGAATTCTCACCTATTGCTATCTTCTACTCTACCCCAAATGTTTCCTCTAAGGTGAGTTTCCTCACCAGGTACTGACCTTCCTCCCTTCCATCCCGCTGTGATCAATGTAAACCCTTTACAGGGTACCATTTTTTCTATCATCCCCGAAACCTGTCCCCATCAAGCCTTCTTGGTGAACATCAGAGTTCTACTGGGTTTGTCACTATGCCAGAGATACTACATTCTCTTCAAGTAACCCAAGAATAAGAATTCATAGCCTGCCATTCTCCTGCAAATCTCCCTGTTCAACTCCCACAGGTTCCACTCCAGGGCTATGTGTGACGAAGCACTCCAACTGAGTCCATTGTCTTAGGGGGAAAGGAAGAGACAGCAAAAAAAGAGAAAGACGTAGCACATACCTAATCGATGGCCTCCTTTCCCATCAGAGCAATTTTCAGGAGTAGTTTTGATTTACAATAAATCAACAGTTGGCAGAGTTAAGCCCAGGCTTCACTTGTTCCTAGCCATGGGGTTGGAAACCTGAAGGTGTTCTGAACTGCAACCATAAAGTATCTTGGCCCTATAAAGACAAGGGAGAAATTTCAGGCAGTTTATTTTATATCCTTCCCCTTTCTGAAGTTCCAGCTCGGCTCCATTGTTACAGGTGTAGATTTGAGTGTCGTAGATTACCCTGAGTAATCCTGAGAAAGGACTACAGTCCTTGTGTCCCCACCCTGCTGTGACACATGGAGTAGAGGACCATTCTAGAAAGAATTCCTACATTCCCTTCACCCAGATTTTCTACAGGTTAAGATTTTAAAGTACCTATTTGTGTAAAATGAGCCACTTCGACATAGTGGTGTAGTACAACAACCATTTCATTATCTCCATTTCTGTAGATGGAGTTCAGAAAAAGTACAGTTGTGTGGTTCTGACGCTGAGTGTAACTGCAATCAGATGGTGGCTGGATTTTTAAAAATTTTCCTTTTGGTATTTGGGTTTGAACCCATGGAGCAATGAGCTATATCCTCAGCCCTTTAAAAAATTTTAGTTTGAGGCAGGGCCTCACTAGGTTTCCCAGGCTGGCTTGGGACTTGCAATCCTCCTGTCTTAGCCTCCTGAGAAGCTGATATTATAGATGTGTACTACAGATGTGCCATCCATGCCTGGATGGCAGCTGGAACTTAAACTTCAGGGGCTGGCTAGACAACCCTTTCTCTTCACTTTTGCTCAGAGCTAGTTTGAGCTTTCTCACCATGTAGTAGTTTTAGAGCAGCTGGACTGTTTACATGGTAGTTGAAGGTTGAAAGGAGTGAATATTTCTCATGGCACCCCTTTTTATAAGGTAGCCTCAGATTCATACACTTCTGCCATATCCTGTTGGTTGAAAAAAATAACAATGGCCTGCCCAATGATGACTAAGGGAGGGAAGCTAAACTTCCATCTCTCAATGGGAGAAATGTCAAGTCACATAAAAAGCTACACAATACATCTGTGAACAGTAAATATTGCCAAAGCCATTATATTTTGGAAGATATAACTTGCCACACCCTGACCCCATCACAATCCACAGCCCACCCAATGCAAAATATCTCATCTCCTCCTTCAAGACCCTCAAGTTTTGTTCCATGGCAGCATCAGCTCAAGGACAGCATTTCATTGTCTATATCAGGTCCCAGTGTGGATATGGCTCCTTGGGTCCAATACCCTGGGTGCCACTCTGAGTACCAGTCCTCTGATCTGAAGACATAGGAATCGAAGAGTCACAGCCACCTGTCTCTTACGCATGAGATAGTGGCCTAGAAATAAGATTAACTGGGCTGGGGATTTAGCTCAGTGCTTCTGCCGCCTGCCTCACAAGCACAAGGACCGGAGTTCGATCCCTGGTACCAAAAAACAAAACAAAATAAAAAGAAATAAGATTAACTGTTATGGACACTTTTATTTAAAAAAGAAGGAAAACAGAACAGGCACACAGCGGTTACTAGTTCATAGTGATTCCAAAATCCTTCCAGGTACTGTTAGCAGTTACTTGATTTGGGCTCAGTCCTACTTCCATTTGTTTGTATTAACGTGGATATGAACTTTTTTCTCCATGGGTTATAATTCTCTCCTAGGATTATTTTGATGCTCAATATGTCACAGATTTGGCTAGTGGAAGAAACTTAAAGCTGTCCCTTGTGTCCTTTGGACTTGTTCTCATTATTCTTTGGGCATGCATTTCCTTGCTTTCTGGCACAAGATGTTCCGGGCTCATCTTATACCTCTCTTGTCTCAGCCCTGGAAGCCTGAAACTTTTCTGAACAGCAAAGGAATCTTCAAACTTTATTTTTTCCATTTTTTATTGCGGTAAAATATATATAACTTAACATTACCATCTCAACCATTTTAAAGTATACAGTTCAATGGTGTCAAATACATTCATAATGTGTATTTGTCACCATCATTCATCCTCAGAATTCTTTTCAGCTTGTAAAACTGCACCTTTGTCCCCATTAAACAGTCACTCCCAGCTGGGTGTGGTGGTGCACACCTGTAATACCAGCACTTAGGAGGCTAAGGCAGGAGGATCACCGAGAGTTCAAGGCCAGCCTGTGCTACAAAGGGAGACTCTGCCTCAAAAAAACAAACAAAACAAAAAGAAACCCCCCCCCCAACCCCAAACAAACAAAAAAGTCACTCCCCATTCTATCCTTCCTCCAGCCCCTGATAATCACCTGATACTGTTGGTCTCTATGATTTTGATTACTCTAAATATCTCTTAGAGGTAGAGTGGTAGCACTTATCTTTTTGTGACTGGCTTATTTCACTTTAGTGCAGTGTCCTCAAGATCCACCCATGGGGTAGCGTATATCAGAATTTCCTTCCTTTTAAAGGCTGAACAATATTCCATTATATATTTGTACAACACTTTGCTCTTCTTTGCTTATGATTTTGGTTGCTCCCACCTTTTAGTTATTGTACTATATTTTACTATGAACATGTGTACAATATCTTCCTGAGACTTTGTTTTAAATTCTTAGAGGTATACACCTGGAGGTGAAATTGCTGGATCGTATAGTCATTTTATTTTTTATTTTTGAGGGACTGCCATACTGTTTCCATACCACTGTACCGCTTCACATTCCCACTAATGGTGTGGAAGGGTTCCACTTTCTCCACACCCACACTAACGTTTGTTATTTTCTGCTTTTTTTTTTTTTTGTACTGGGGATTGAACTCAGGACCTTGCACTTTCGAGGCAGGCAGTGGAGCCACTGAGCTAAATCCCCAGCCCTATTTTCTGCTTTTTGATAGTAGCTTTCAAATGGGTGTGAGCTGGTATCTCATTATAGTTTTGATTTGCATTTCCCTAGTCATTACAAAGTTCAGCATCTTTTTT